CGCTGGAAGCATGCGCGATGGAGTTTCTAGAAGGATCATGACTTTTCTTGCCAACTCTAATCTGTTCTAGGCGCCCTCTTTTTTAGTATATAAGCTCGACAAATAAAGCGGAGATATAATTGCAGATAGATAGATATAGAGACAGATAATTGAGTCAAGCGAGCGGTAGTGACGGTAATATAAAGTGTGTGTTTTGTTATCGACATTGCAAACGTATTGACTGTGGAAATTCTGTGTATTGCAAAGTTTTATCGAGAAAGAATAAACTAGTTTTAATTAAGAAAGGACTTGTGTCGCTGAAGTTTCTCGGAAAGAATTTCTACGGGAAATTAACAAACAAGCAGATACACAACAATAATATCTGGAAGGTTTATTTATATTTCGCATCACCAGTTTTCCTAACATAATATCTAGAAGGTTTGTTTATATTTCGTATCCCCAGTTTTCCAAACAGAATGTCTGAAAAGTTACTTTTTAATTTATATTATCTGCTTTCATTACAGAATGTCTAGGGGGTTCTTTTTTGTTTATTTCGTATCATCAAAGTTTATCGAAGTTAATTATAATATCATTAATGTTATCCCCTACCAGTAATTTCATAGGGGGAATAAACCTTCTGATGGTTAACAAAAATACACTCTGGTAACCACTGACAAAAATAAAATCTAGTAAAATATGTAATCATTACATTCCTTGCTAAATAACAACAGATGGATTTAATTTTGGGTTTCTCTATCCTGGCATCTTTTCTGATAATATTAAAACTATTTCTAATATATTTTAATGTTACTCCAGTTATGTTGGACCTCTTAATGAACTACACATGGTCTGTACAAACACCGTCGTTACTTATATCCATTTCTAAGATACTAACAAGTATTTAACTTGTTCTTTCTCTATACTAACAGCGAAGGTCTATCGCTGGAGGCAATGGAGACAGGGTAAGACACCTTATTCACTTTAAGCATGCTCTAAATAAACATAGTTTGTATGTAACTAGGGTAGGTTCTCAGCTGCTTGTTATCATGTATCTTGTTTTATACCGAAAATGTTACTTATAACTTAAAAACCTGGAGCTACTCGAAAATGTTACTTATAACTTAAAAACCTGGTGCTACCAGTTTGTTAGTCATCATTATCCCTTGTGTTTTCTCGGTTGAAGTATTTTTTGATAATTCGAATAATTCTTAGCTTTGTTTATTTCAAATACTTTTGATAACACAGAAACGTTTAACTTAATGTTCGTACAAGCTACTACCAACAATCTTCTCGTGTTTTTTTTTACTTAAGATACGTTTGATAACACAGAAACGTTTAACTTAATATTCGTACAAGCTACTACCAACAATCTTCTCGTGTTTTTTTTACTTAAAATACGTTTGATAACACAGAAACGTTTAGCTTAATGTTCGTACAAGCTACTACCAACAATCTTCTCGTGTTTTTTTTACTTAAAATACGTTTGATAACACAGAAACGTTTAGCTTAATGTTCGTACAAGCTACTACCAACAATCTTCTCGTGTTTTTTTACTTAAAATACGTTTGATAACACAGAAACGTTTAGCTTAATGTTCGTACAAGCTACTACCAACAATCTTCTCGTGTTTATTTATATGAAATACGTTTTGTAACACAGAAATGTTTAGCTTACTCTTCGTACCAGCTATTGCTATCATTCTTCTCTGGTTTGCTTACCTGGTTTATCTTCTATTACTCAGAAATAACAACCTTTCTGCTCTTACCAGCTGCCACCCCCTTTATTCTTTTGTATACGTGATGGAATAAATGACTCCAATCTTTTCTTATACTGTAATTTTAGGCAAACCTTTCTTCTGCTCATACTTATGTCATGTGATGCAGTCTTTCTTCTCCCTTCTTCATTGTGGTTGGGTTAGCTTTCTCGTCTCTTCATCCATTTTTTATTAATTTTCCCGATTTTTTTTATTCCTTGGTTTTAGATAATATTTCCGATTTTTGCTATCGTTGTGGACGCCTTTCTCTACTCGTCTTCTGATTATGTTGGACAAATCATCTCATCTCTCTTGTATTTTTCATGCTGAGAATAACAACCCTCATGTGTTGCACCTGTAATGTTGAGATCAAAATTCCTCTTCTGTTGTGCCTGTGATGATGAGAATAACATCCTTTTTCCTTTGTACCTGTGATGCATAGAATAACATCCATTTTATGCTATACCTGTGATGCCTAGATGGTAGTGGATACCTTTCATTTTGTCTTATACTTCTGATATTTGGGATATCTTGATCATTGTATCCATAGTAGTGGATACCTTCCTTTTCTTTAAGTTACCTTTCACTTTAGTTACACTGATGTTGAAGACCACTTATTTTCTTTCTTTTATCTGTAAATATCAGACTATACCGTTCAGCTCTTTTGTACCCGTGATGGGAAAGATATCATATTTCAGTTTTTTGTTCGTCTTCATTATATATAACGGTTGGCATGGCCTGGTTGTTAGGATACTCGAATATGTGGGTGGCGGGTTCATATCCATTCAGAGAACATACTCGCGCTTTAGCCTCACTATTTTTTTGGTCAAGAATGATTTACGTTAGCAGTGGATGATGTTGACATGTTACCTTCCTCTGGTCAATCACTTCTAAATTAGTGACTGTTACCACAAATGTCTTTGAGTAGCTTTAGGCGAAATGCAACAAACAAACCGTTACTTCTAACATCAATAATGCATTTTTAATTGTTATTGTGAAATACATACCTTCCCTTTACCTGAATTAATAATAATTATGGCTGTTTCTGGTACTCATATGCTTGAACTTTAACTGTATTTCCTTCATTTGTATCCATTATAATAAAGCACTTTTTCTGTTATCTTATGGTTGTAAAATTAAGTGTCTCTGCTCTCGTTCTCTTGACCTGTTTCCTCTGTAATAATAGGATATTATCCCTACGAAATTTTGTTATTATATAAAACAGTATCACATAATGCATTATGATCGATTAATTAATAAACTGTCTATAAGTATATAACATTTCATGAACAAATATTACTTTCTACTTTTAATTACGTTGTAAGAACACTTACTTGAGAACTTTGATTTTTTGCATATATTTTGAAAACATGGTGTTTCTTCTTCAGAGTTCAAGGTCAACGAAAGAATAGCTTTCAAGTCAGATTTCGGACTACAAAAAACCATGGACTATTATTGTGGTTAAATAAGGGGGCAACAATATATGTTGACTACCTTTCCCTGGCTATTATGAACGGCTTTCTGGAATTTAGTTTCAACCTTGGAAAACAGCGCCATCTCTTGGTGATACGAAGTTTAAGTAAAGTAGATGACGGTCGGTGGCACACAGCCAATATCGAAAGGTAATATTTGATTTATAATTTTGATATCATTAGAAAACATTTTTCCTATTTATCGTTTGTTTGATTATATACCAGTTATTACCTTGTGATATATAAAAGCAAAATTCACTGTCCGAAGATTCATTGCTTAATCATTCGGTCTGAAAAACAAATATACAGTTACGTGTGAAAATTAGGCTTAAAGTTGTTAAGATATATAAAACGCAAATACATTCATTACTTTACGAATATTTCTTTAGAGTTTGACCTGATGTGACTAGTTTTAATTCATTTTAACTTTATAAACGCTTTGCATCACATTAAGTTTGCATTTACGTTTAACATGGGCTTCTATTCATTACATGACACTTAGCTCTCTATGCTTGGCTGTTAAAAAGTTTTAAATTGTCGTTGTTGTGTATTCTTCATATATTAACGTAGAGGTAATTATATTTGACAGAACTATCTGATGTTCGTGAGGTACCAAAGCAAAAATATGCTCCCAGTTTTGTTACATTCAGAAACTTTCTACTCTTTAATACATACATTATTTGAACGCAAAGTATGGTCATATACACACAGACTGAATGTAACTTAACGTTAATCAAAGTTCTGAGACGGAAGTGACGGGTGCTTACCCCTAATTATGTAACTATATAGTCATCAAAATATTTATAAAGAGCATCAAGAAATTATGTCTACGTAACACCTACAGAATCCACTCATCAAACCGTTGTCGTTAACCGTGATTATGTGACTGTATTGATTTTTAAACGTAATAAAGTCAGGGCTACCAACATGATGGTTACTATGTTTGACTAACACCTACAAAATCCACTCATCAAACCCTTGTAGTTAACCCTGATTATGGTAACTATATTTATTTTTAAACGTAGTAAAGTCAAAGCTACCAACATGATGGTTACTATTGTTACGTATCTACTTGTTTGTTAATTTCCGGTAGAAATTCTTTCCGAGGAACTTCCGCGATAAAAGTCCTTCCTTTCTTGATTAAACCAGTTTATTCTTTCTCGATACAAACTTTTAGTACACAGTAATTCCACAGTCAGTACGTTTCTCGTCACTTTAGACTTAACAACTTTTATAACACGCGCTATAAATCACAGCGATTCACAATCTCGATAATTTCGCTCTCTACGAGTGCAAAACACACACTAGCTCGAAACAGAATCGTAAATTACCCGAAACTCACCGTGACTACTGTTCGTTTAACCATCTCCTGGCTTTTCACTGCCAGGCTTATATACTAACAAATAGGCGTCTCGATCACACTCGAACTTCCCCGATAATTCGAGAAACTCGGTCACGCATGTGCTAGCAGCGTCACGTGACTTCTGCTGTCGTAACACTATGTTTGACTAACACCTACAGAATCCACTGATGAAACCGTTGTCGTTATTCCTGATTATGTAACTATATTGTCTTTAAATTTGTTCAACCCCAGCAGTACATCTTCAATTCATTGTATTTTACTTTACACTGAAGCTAAATAAATTTCTTGGTATACAGTTTTACTGCGAACTTTAGGCCGAGAACTACTCCAAGATCCTGTACTCTACTGATAATATATATATATATATTGTTTCTTTCAGACGGGAAAGATTAGGAACACTTCGTGTAGACGACGGCCCCCTAGTGAGTGCTACCTCAGAACCTGGAGCGACTGAACTGAATACCGATGGGGTTCTCTGGCTAGGTCAGTCTCTCTACTCCTCCGTATGCTTGTCTGTATTTTCGTTTCTTTCACTATCCTCTGCACTGTTTATTTCCTTTTGCTGAGAAAGGCTATTCAACATTCCTGTTATTAATTAGCAGTAGTTAAAGAGCAATTTCAAGTTTGTCTTTACAATAGAATATACCAGTTGTTGCCGGCCAAATTCTAAATACCAAATACAATTAGGCTTACTTCACGGTGTTCTTACTATTGAATACATTTAAGAAGAGCACGTACCACAGGCGCCGTTCAGTTTTGTGACAAATCATACATTATTGTTACCAGTCATGTAAGATTGTCTTAGCATTTTTGTGCTCCCTCATCCAACTTTCCGTAAAAGTTTGCCTGTCGTGATCAAAAGTTGAATAAGACAGTTCTAAGGCTACAGTTGTTATTCTTATTGACGCTTAACTTTGGTTTATTGTTTTGAACTTCATAATAGTTTGAAGTAATTAAATTCTGACTTCGATTACTTATCATTACAGTATATTACAATACAGTTGAACTGCGTGAATAGGGGAAGGTGTGCATTAATTAAGACAATCCATGTTTTTCTTTGCAGGTGGTTCTCCTGGACTTCCAACCGGACTTCCCGTGCAGTACTATTCCGGTTTTAATGGTTGTATAGAATCAGTGCTAGTAGATGGAGACCCACTATATATTATTATGCACGGTTCTGGCGCCGTTCAGTTTTGTGACAAATCATGATGGACACTGAGATCTGGCCTGTAGTTGCTATAGACTGGATAGCTGATTGACCTGCAGGCCGTGTCTTCTTCAAGTGGACTGAATGGACAGGACTGACCTCTAGTGTTTGCAGTGTGCCAACTTGTATTTACGACAGTGTGGATATGTATATAGTCCTCTCTACGTTTTGAAGAATATTAAATATGAACATGAGATATATATATATTTATGTCAGATGTTTGTCATATATTAATGGCAAAAACGCTGGCCTAAACCACTGATGCTGAAGCACTTAATCCCAGATATTCAACTTTAATTACTCCATTTGTCTTCAACGTGGTTTCATTTCCAAGTGCTTCCTAAGAGTCGCAAAACAAAAATTTGTTCAGGTGACTGTAACAATAAAAACCATGATCGTCAATTCAGTTAATATCTGACTCTCGCTTGTTTTCGAAGTACTTCAATCAGTTCTTTGTTCCTTAGTAACTTGTTTAATGTTATATGATACATGTTCACTACTGACAAATACGTATGTACGTGAACAAAGTAACAATTTATGAAGTTAATTGAAGTTTTAATCATATATGTGGTTGATTTCACGTAAGCATTTAATGAAGTGTTGTTATGTCGTCTAGGCCTAAAGCGATATTGATAAAACCGTTATCAAAACCCTTTTCACCATGTTCCTTAGAACGCATTGATTTATAACTTATTCAACACCTTCCTTAAGTCAGCACACTTGTTTTACTCTTAATAAAAACAGCTACAAATTATACAAAAACAGAAGGAGGTAAAAAAAGTATCACACACGAATTTATCTTATTTTTGGCTATTTGTAATAACAGCAAAAACCGGTTACTTAATCGAACCTAGAATTCGATTATACTGTTACGTCTCTGTTCGTTTGTTAATTTCCCGTAAAAATTCTTCCCGAGAAACTTCAGCGATACAAGTTATTTTTTAAATAAAACTAGTTTATTCTTTCTCAATACAACTTTGCAATACACTTAATTTCCACACTTAAACACACGCTATACTTCTCAACGAACGATTCACGAACTTTATTTACTACCGCGCTTGACTCAATTGTCCGTCTATATCTTTAATCTCTCTGTCTGCCATTCTATTCCGATTAATTGTCTGGCGCACTTATATACAAGAATAGAGGGCGCCTAGCAAATACTGGATTATTCGTGATGTTCCCCAATCTTTCTAGAACTCATTACGTGTTATCAGAGTCACGTGACTTCAGCTGTCGTAACACTGCCCCTTCCTTAGTATTGTTCGTCCGGAACAATAGCCACTTACATTAAACGAATGGAAAATTAACAATAACTTAATTAAATGTACAGAATTTACAAACACAAAATTAAAATTCAACAAAATCTCTTAATTTTACGGGATGTAGCTTCTTCTGTACTGGTCTCCGTCTCGTTGGCTTCTGCTTCACGTGGGGTTCATCTGCTCCATCAGGAAATGTTCTATTATCGATAATAGTCACA